TTTAATATAAAGATAAACTTACTATAATAATAATTCTTTCTAAAAAATTAAGACGATCTAAAACTGCTCCGCGCCGTCGTCGATTATCGAATATAATATATTTAAATTAATATATCGAGGAAACTCGATATAGGTAACTATATATTGAAGCACCTAGGTCTATCGCTAGCTATTTAGAATATCTTTAGTCTATAGATGCTTATTCGAGACCTTCGTAAGAATATTTAATTTAAAGAAATAAAGGTTATAGGCTATATAGTATAAAGGTGACTGAATCGACTTTAGAAATCTCGCTTAATCCTCTACTACGATAATAATACTTACGTCTATAGCCTTTAAAAGTCTTCTATTTATAAACTAGCTATAGCACTACTACGGGAAATAGCTATACTCGTAATTATATATAATATTTATTTAACTTCTATATAGATATCTATTAAGGCTAATTAGTTAACTAACGATCTCTTATATTTTCGATATCGAAAAATCGCTAATAGATATTCATAGCTAAGATAGCTGGCTACCTCTCCGCCTCGCTTAAACGTAATCTATCGAAATTATAATATAGTTAGATCCCTCTATTTAAAGACGCCGCTTATCTTCTCTAATAGAGTTTAGCGAGTAAAATTCGAAAGATTTACTTAATACTAATCAAGTTCTATAATACTCACTATACGTTATATAACTATTATCCCCCCTTTTTAACTACTATAAACTTATTTACTAGTTAGATTACGGCGCTTAATATTAAACAACTTAAGGTAAAGACGATTAAGATATATCTTATCGGCGTTCGATTCATATAGATAAATCTAGAATATAAAAACCTTAAGGTTTTTTATAGTCCGCAGCTGAAATAAATAATAGCCGATATTCGTCGACTATAAGGCGAGGCCGATATAAGAGAAAGACACTTACTTATCAAGAATAGACTTCTTAAAGTCTTCTCATTATTTAATTAGTCTACTAAGAAGGAAGTTATTATATATATCGCCTTTTATTTAGTATTTACGATCTTTCTTAAAATAGGCGAGTTTATCTATTTAATACGCGATTAATAGAATAAAGAATTTGATAATTAATTCCTTACTCGTCGGTCGATAAGACTATATAATAACTACCTCGAGTTAACTCTTTCAACTTTAAAAATAAACTTATTTCGATAAGGTATTATACTTACCGTAACCGCTATCGATAACGAAGTATATACGATAAAGGTATTAAGGCATCTATTTTAGAAATAACCGACGTTATTTACGTTGTTACTATTTAAAATAAATAATTAGTTTATTAGAGATCTAGTTATCGCCATCTTTCATTAAGTATTAAGATTAATTAGTGAGAAAGATTATTTTTTAGATTATTCCTTTCGTCGTAAAATTACTATATCCGCGCGAGAGACTAGCCTTAGCGATGAGGAGATTCAGCTACTAGGAAGATAGAAATTAGACTCTTATCGTTTATATATTATAATATATCTAGTTAGAATACTTACTATATCTCGGCGATACTAATATCTTTCATTTTATTAGCGCTAGTAATAGCGAGTCTCGCTATAAACGTCCTCGATAAGAACGTCATTTTAGTAGTTTAGGAGTTTTCTTACGCTGGGGTATAAGAAATATACTTGTTTAGGCCTCTATTTAGGTCTATTTAGACTTGTTATCCCCGACGTAAGACGATCTAACCACTATCTACACTCTATATAAACCCCTATACGTGCATTAACGCGTGTTTTTTATAAATATAATAACTAATCGCCACAGTGGGACTAAGGGTTAGTGGGTCATATGACATTATGGCCCTATTAATACCTATTAGTACCCCTATTGATACCCCGGTAAGGGGTTGGGGACAGATATCCAGTACGAGCTATATATCCACCTGTTTTATATCTATCAATGGCTCTTCATTCAATTTCATCTCTTTCAGAGCTATTGCACACTTTTTATTTTACCTATCTACACCTATATATAGCTAGCTATTATCCCACTCCAGGTCTATACCATAGGTATAAGAGTTTTTTTGCGCTGGGGTACGAGAAATATACCTATTTAGGCCTCTATTTAGGCCTATTTAGGCTTGCCATCCCCGGCGTGAGACGGCCCAACCACTATCTACACTCTATGTGGGCCCCTATGCGTGCATTGACGCGTGTTTTTCATGAATGTGACAACTAACTATCGCATATCGCATAATAATGAGACGGCTGATCAAACAGCCACCAACGCTATGGCCTCATAATGGACCCACTAACCCACAGTCCCACTGTTGCGAATGGTACTGTCAACTCGAAACATTCGGAGTAGGATTCAAGGACTGGAGGCTCGACTTCCATTGCATCCTATGTTGCGCCGTGGATGTGCCTGGAGTTCAAGGCATGAAGCAAGGCTGGCTCATCGACGATGCCGCCACGCGATGCGTTGATTAGGATACCGCTCCCCTTCATTTGTGAAAGCTGTTCTGCTCCAACTACACCTCGAGTTGATTCTGTCAAAGGTACATGCAGAGTGACTCTGTCCGGGGTAGCCAGCAGATCTTTCAGGGGAAGAGGCTCTCAACTGACCTACATCACGCCAAGAATCCTCGAAAATGTAGAGATCGAACGCAACAATCTCGCCACTCATGGCTTCTCTTCACTTCTGCGCGACTACTCGCCCGATATTGCCATTTCCAACAATCCCCAATCATCTTCTGGAAAAGCGACATAGCCAACATCTGCGACCGGGTGATCTTCTCACCGTCCCGTATCCTCCAATCGATCTCAAAGATACGCCGAGAAAGATTCAACGCAAGAGCTAGTGTCAGTCTTGCTACAGACTCGTTGTTCGAGCCCGGGGTATTTGTGCAGACCAGATATATCAACTTCTGCGTAGCCGCCGCTTGTGCTCCAGCCTACTTCTTTCTACTGCCCTCATATCGGCCCAAGCCAGAGGGCTGCGTTGGACAATGCATCAAGAACTTTGACTCCTCAGGTATCATCCTCTTCGTGGGCACCTCCATCTCGCTCGTCACGGGTATTTCATTCGGTGGTGCAGTCTACACTTGGAAGAGTGGCCAGATCATAGGCCAGTCCTGTTGCTCCGCATCCTTAGGATACTGCTCGGCCTACAGCAGTCTAGGTCTGTCCTGACAACGAAGGAAAATAGCATATTGCCTGTGCGATTCCTCAAAACCTACGAGATGTGCATCCTGTTTGCCCAAGTAGCAGTCTGCATCGCCTGTATCATCATTCCGGTGTATTTCATCCTCCTCTCCTTTCAGTTTGTGCGCAATGACTCGCTTTGGGAGCCGGGATCCGCCTGCTGCCTTTCGTCTTCGCTGCCGTGCTTGGGGTTATGATCAATGGAGCCATCCTGAAGAGATACAGTCTGTATATGCCATGGTTTACCGTGGGGGAGTACTTATCGCGAGTATCGGTGGTCTATTGTACACGATCAGTCCAGTTTCTAGTGCTGCGAAGGTTTACGGCTATAGCGTCATCACAGCGATTGGTACGGGCTTCTTTGGCAAGGCACCTTTTTCTTGTAGCCCAGGCAAAAGTCGCTCAGCACCTCGTCCCATCCGCGACAGCGTTCATCAATTGTGGCCAGATCATGGGCATTACTCTCTCGCTCTCGATCGCGACCAGCATATCCATCAACCAATCGACTGACAAGATTGTTCTCATCCCTCCACATGCGTCTCACTTCGACCCTTCAGGCTCTTATCGCTTGGCCTAGGACATCATTCTTCAGGAGTCAGCATGTCAACGATCAACGTCAGACCTTGGAAGCTCTCATATGACTATTGATCATATCTATCTCATGGTTATCGTTTGTGGAGCATCTGCTGTGATCTTGTCCACCATCATGAGAGAGAAAGGCTTTTTCTGAAAGCTGGCGCCATGGGGGTATGATAAGTTGGAGGAAAATTGAGGCATTGAGGTCAGAGGAGATGAGGGAAAAGGACTGGCTAGGTGTTTTGGCGAGCATTGGTCATTTTTCTCTTTGTTCCTCCCCAACATGGGTACACTCATCGAACCTTAAACTGGAATTCGCAGAGATTTGAATCTATTTATGATTCTTATTCGCTTCCACATGGTTGTAAGATACTTCAAGCCTCGGTGACCTTATGTGCATGTTTCGGAGATCATGTCGTAATTTACAGTACAGTATTCCTGGACGGATTTGAAAGTTAGGCACGCGTAAATTATCTTTTAATCTTTCGATTTCTCATAAAAACTAGATAGATATATCTCACTTTCATTGGGCCATCCAGATGTGAGTCGGCTCTGCGAGAAACACCTCTCAATTTAACTGCCCGTCGAGGATACGCCAACAATCTCCTTCCATCATGCCGCTTCACACTACCAACAAGGCAACGATGCTCAAGTCCGTCGCATCAGCCTCTTCCACCTCAGATTTGCCCGCTACACAATGCACATTCCGGAAGCACTGACTCTAAACCCCAAAAATGAGACAACAACCTCCTTCGTCTTGCGAGCCTGCCTGCAAGCCTTCCTCGCAATCTTCCTCCCACTGCGTGTGGTCTCTTTCTACCGCCTTCTTACTAGCCGCAAACGCACTCACGATACTCTCGTCAAACCTGCCAGCGACCCCGTCAACAACGAGCCAGGATCAGGCTCACCGAGGCCGCTGGATGGCCCAGCTGTCGCAGGATGGTATTTCAGACCGCGTTGCCGGCTCCGAACCCAAAGTGGTTAGTTCCGTCCCAGGCGTCAGCTCGAGCCAGTGAGCCGCCGGTCGGAGACCAGACCTGGCGGCCGAAGCTGACGCTCAGGTGCAGTCCGCAAGGGAAAGCGGCACCGGGCTTCGCGGATGTCGGGCGGCGTTTCCGCCCGATGTGGCGAGAAGCAGAAGCGGGCCGACAATAAAGTGGGCTGTGCGCATCTCACTCCACCTCCCACTCCCATCCGCCCCCACCCACGGCGTGTTCGACGTAGACTGATCGTTCGAGGGGCGTGAAAAGACCCAGGCAGGGCGATCGGACTGGCCGGCATGACGGCCGAGACCAGCACCACGCCCATCTCGCTCTCATATTGGAAGGACGTGGAGTCGCTGCGGGCGTTCGCGCAGGGTCCAGCGCAGCGTGCGGGCTGGGACTGCTGGAACCGGACCATGAAGTCGCATCCGCACATTGGCATCATGCACGAGGTCTTTGCGGCGCCGAGGGGTCACTGGGAGAGTATCTGCGTCAACATGGAACCCTTTGGGATGGGTAAGTGCGGTCCGCCTTGGGGAAAAGATCGGGTTGCTGATCAAGATGGATGGTTAGACCAGATGGAGCTTCCCGGCGGCGAGGGTGCGGGTGGATTGAGGAGTGCGCTTGTCCGAGCCCAGGGCCCCAAGTGGATGTCAATGTTGGGCAGGATGAGCAGGGTGGACATGTTTGAAGGCTACGAGGCTGAGGAAGATTGAGTGGGTGGGTGTGTGTGGGCCGGGGGAAATCGTCCAGACGGGCAACAGAAGGGAGTGCAACACCCGAAAAGGGCAAACGCAGCGTCGATTATCCTTACAAGCCCCCACCCACACCCAAAAACCTTCCATAAACCCTCACACCAACCCTGCCCCATTACTCCCCGCCTCCCTCAAACCCCCAAACCTCCAAACCCACATCCGACCCCGCCCAACGCCAGCCCACGCCATCCTCTCTGCATGGGGTGTCCCCCAACCAGCCCTCACCTCCCCAAAGCCTACCTCTGTGACCGTCTCGACCGCCCACCCCACCCCCATCCCACCTCTCAACCTCCAACGCCCACGGCCGGAGCACTCGAAGCCCTCAGGTATTAAGGACCCGAAAAAGATCCATCGCTCTTTGAGTCCACTCAATCCCGCACCCGTGGACAAGCTGAGGACAAGCCGTCAGCTGGTCCTGCGCTCACATCCAGCCCACGCACCAAAGGGCACACAGAAGCCTGGCTCCAGCCCGATCCTGGTATTTCTAATTTGGCTTCTGTTGACAGTCATTACCCATGCATGCCTGTATGACAATGGTCTTATATTTTACGCTCCCTCAGCTGCCGCGCACTCTTCCGGCCGCCCTAGGGCCGAAAAGGAGCTACGCAACCGTTATTGCACTGTTTGGGTCGTAATTTCTTTTGGTGATCACTTTGGATTTGTTTATCAAAAGTGGCTAGCTGTATAGATGACGGTCCATTGGGATTCATCGTTGGTACGGGTTTTAGCCGCAATAGGTCGTCTGTGTTAATGATCTTCGAGGACTTTTTCCAGATGTGGTAAGTAATATGCGCTAATTCCCCTTGATACTTGTCATCTATATCAAATTCATTATAACAAGTTGCTCTTGGATTTGGGATTTTTCCCCAAAAAGTTGTTTATTTCCAAGTATGTTAGGGTATATTTTTATCAGAAGTAAGTATTAATGTGAGTGGTAGGTTGCAGCACTATGGCTCCTCTGTGCTTGCACAATTGCAAAGACGGTCACTGCAACCTCGATCCCGCTCTTGGTTCCATAGGTGGGTAGACAATTGTCATAATTGGACGATCCATGAGCACAAATGGGATAAGGCTCAGAAGACGTATCTGGAGCATGCCGAAAACTCCCAGTCGCAGCGCTGACCGCGGAAACCGAACGCCGGGAGACTTTTGAGATAGGAATGTCACTGGTACAGAGCATCCATCTTGACACCCTGGAGACAGACATTGGAGGTCCCAGCATGCCTGACCATTCCATGACCACCAACCGTAGTATTCTTTGCAACGCCCTTATCGCCCCACCATACATTCTCTCCCTCTTCAAACCAATCGTCCATCAAATTGACCAGTGTCTGTAAATGCCCAAAAGTGGCCGGCTGCGAGCCGCTTCTCTGGCTCCAGGCCAGAAACGATCCAAAGGCGGCCACGACACCTACTCCAGCAAGTAGTAGGAGAATGCCTACCCAGTTCATATACACACTTTGGCCGTCGGAGTTCACAGCCAAGCCGAATAACCAGTAAGCAAGTGATTTCAGTGTGAAAAGGAGGACGGTTTGCCAGCTAGAGATTGCAGTTTTCAAGGACCCGACAGGGCCGAAGGAACGCTGTGTCCCCGTCTTACTGGTGGCAAGGCGCCAGATGTGCTCGTCGCGGGACAGATTTACAAGGAGTTCGGTGAGATGAAGCGACAGAGTCAGAAAAATTTGCAGAGAAGTTGTGATGAGTAGGGCGCAAAGGTTGAGTTCCAGGACAGGGACGGACTCGCCGTAGAGAGGCAGGGTAGTCGATGAGGTCTTTCGAAAGTATGGGTTTGACCCTACGGCAATGCCCCAGACTATTACGAGAGCGACAAACGCCCAAAGGAAACGGGTGATATGTCTGATTGAGGGCATAGCACGCCGTGCTGAAGCTTGGGTGGGGAGAGGCTTCTCAGGCATTGATGCCCAGTCGGTTTGGTGAACACTAAGCATGCAGCGACCATCAACGCTGCGCATCCCATGATGTAGGCACGTGAGAGCGGTATTGAGGGGGTTTGAACTCCATGTCGGTATGAGCTTTCGAGAACCCCAGAGGCAGAGGGTAGAGATCATAGCCTGACCAAGTATGCCAATACCAAGCGCCGAAATAGCGATGCCATTGAGAACGAACCCCTTCTTTTCGGCACTGGTCGAGGATAAGAACAGCTGGCCAGATGATGCGTAACATATCATCAGAAGGAACGCCGAGACTAGATTGGTCGACCATCTGCTGGATGAATAACGGCGCGTACTTACTAAAAGCCGAGCATTTGAATTGTACAAAAGCCGGCCTTCGCGCCAAAGTGCCCAGCGAGTGGACGCCGAATGAATATAGCCAAGACAGTCCGTACAAAGACTGATACAAATGTTGACTGCCAGCTTCACGAGTTCTTGGCGTACTGTGCTCAGGAAAAAGACGCGTTCGCCTTGCCCGTTATGGGTGTAACCACCATTTTGAGTACGGAACAGTTGGCCGGATTGGAAAGTCCAATGTGCGAGAGTAACGCAGGCGATGGATACGAGCCAGCTGAAGATGAGTCCGCCGATACATGTGTTGCGGGTCATGAGTCCTTTATCGTAGGCTGGAAGCGTCTGAACTTCGTGAATCCAATTCATGTTCGTCTCTTTCAAGGACGACATAGGTTCTAGAGGCTCTTTGTGCGCCGAGTCATGCTTTGCATTCGATGTGCTGGGCTCGGTGTGGCGATGTGCTGTCCCAGACCGCGTCCATTGTTGCCGCCTTCTCGTCAAAGGCCAATCCAGGCGCCAGCCTGCCATTTTCACCAATGGAAAAAAGATCTGGGCGGTGATTACTGTCGAAACATCTAGACCTTGGGTGTCGAAAATGTTCAATCAGGCGGTGTAAACCGCTGGTATTGCTTGTGCGTGTTGTCCAGCTGCTCTGCCGGCCTGGATGACTGGAGGACTACGGAGACACTACCTTCCTAGCAATGATGTGATGTCGCATGAAGATTGAGATATATTCGAAATAACAGCGGGGAGAACAAGACTGCTGGGAGAAATAGTTGCCCAGTCGGCGATGTTCGATTTGCGAGGGTGTGGTGCCGATGATCTTCAGCCACAGCTGGGCTGTACGCGGCCCCCGAGATCCTTCGCTCGATATGGTATCCACTCGCATCATCGTGCATAATAGGCTAGACGAATCAGGACACCCTCAAATGCCCAACTGCATTGGACATCTAATAATATCCGCTGCGCAACTCTCATTGTATGCTAGCATTTCAAGTCCGACAGCGTATCAGACTATCTTTGATTTTTCATAGTTTTCATACGTGGCCCTAGCATGACTTGTACATTTCTGGCGATTCTGGGATTGCAACTCTTCCTCCTTGTGCTGTCGTGGGGCGCCGATGGTTTCGAGGTCCAGCCTGTCCAGATACCCCAGCTGGATTTCAGTGAGATCGGTCGTGTTGCATTCATTGGAGATTTCGAAGCGCTATCACTCTACCAGTACACCGAGCGATCCAGCAATGCCTCTGCGCCCTCAGGCAATGGCGGTCAATCAATTTTGCAGCAGCTCCCGAACGGAGATCTTGTCGAACTCGCAGAAGCCAACGGGCCCATAGAACATGTTGGTGCCTTTGTGATGCACGATGGTACATATGGAGGGACCATTGTCGTAGGAAACTTCACTGCAATAGCCGGTATTCCTGCAGAAGGTATTGCTATGTTCAATACCACCTCGCGCACTGTCTCTCCTATGCCAGGGCTTAGTGGCCCAATATTCACGCTGCTGATGGACGGCGAGGACCGAAACACATTTTATGTAGGTGGGGACTTCTCAGCCGCGAACTCAGGCAATGTGTTGGCTTGGGTAGGCACGAGTGGCTGGGCCAGCTTACCATTTGGAGGTTTTAACGGACCTGTCAACTCAATCGCTAAATTGTCGGACGGATCTTTGGCTTTTGGAGGCAGCTTTGATAACCTGCTCAATCGAAGTATTGCTGCAAACATCAGTGCGCTTTTCCAAGGCAACTCCACAGAACTGAGTGGACTTTTCGGATTCAACCCCAGCGCATCAACTGAAGGTGGTCGTTCTGCAGCGGTCACTCGTACAAAGCTTGACCCGGGGGCGGTGGTAAACGATCTGGTCTCGTACAACAATTCTTTGTTCGTTGCTGGGGCTTTCCAGTCTCGCGATATCCACAACATCTTTGTTATCGAGAATGATACCTCCATTGCTTTATCAGGGGGTGGATTGAATGCTAGAGTCAACACCCTCTATCTTGCACAAGACCTGCTTTTCGCAGGGGGTGACTTCACGGACACGGCCAACAAGACCACTGGAAACCTTTCACATGTGGCTGTCTATTCAATACTAGATCAAAATTGGCAGGCCTTAGGGGCAGGGGTGAACGGTCCAATCTCACATTTGAACCCTTTGGAGTTCATCATTACTCCGGGCTCGGCCCCAGAAATTGTTGTTGTTGTTAATGGAGATTTTAACCAACTTCAAGAGTTCGGAAACAACTCAATGGCTTCGGTGGACGGCCTCGGGATTTGGGTGCCATCGGCAAACAATTGGCTGCAGAATATCGCGATTGACCAACAAGCTTTCCATGGCCAACTCAGCAGCTGCAGCACAAACATCAGCGCAGCGCAGGAGACTGATCTCATCTGCGCCGGAACACTATCTTCTTATGGTCTCAGAGCAAGCAGTGCAATTGGACTCATAACTGACACGTCCCAAAATCTTGAACTTGTTACTTTGGGACTTCAGACCAAGTCGAGTAATGGATCTGGCGCCGCGACCGGACTGTTCTACTCAGAAAACGGGCTCAATCTCACAATAATTGCTGGACAGTTCATAGCTGAAGCGTCCGATAAGTCTGTTGTCCAAAATCTTGCATTCATCAACAACACCGACAATCCCGAAATAGTCTCGGGCATGAATTCTGACTTTGGGAGCAATTTTTCTATCCAAAGCCTAGCCACCCAGTCGACCATTTTGTATGCCGGCGGTGTTCTAGCTGGCAAGGTAAAAAACCAGAATGTCGAAGGCATCTTCGCATACAACTTATCTGAGCATGACTTTTCGGTTAGCCAACCACCTGCCTTGGAAGGAAACGTTGTCGAGGTAAAAGCCATGAAAATAAAACCACAAGGTAGCCAACTGTATGTTGGCGGCAGTTTCGCGAAGGCTGGTTTGATTGACTGTCCGAGCGTCTGCGTCTACGATACTGCGTCACAAAATTGGAGCCGTCCAGGCACTGAGCTTAGTGGCTCTGTCACCTACTTGACTTGGACTGACGACGAAACACTGATTGCTGCCGGCAACATTGCCGTTGGTGGCGTGTCTTATTCTTTGGCAACATTCTATGTTCCTGATGGTGAGTGGACACCTTTCAGGGAGGACCAGCCAATCCCGGGTCAAATCACTGCAATGAGTCCTACAGGCTCCAGAGGTCAAGATACGCCATCTGGTAGTGCTGGTTGGTCCAGCGACTCGGCGGGTTTCTGGATTGCCGGCACTTATCCCAATAGCTCCGCTTTTCTAATGAAATGGGGCAATGATACATGGTTGCCAGTCAACCAAGATTTTGGCAATCCTAGCAAGATTACAGGAGTAGAAGTCGTATCGTTGGATCAAGACACCGCTGGCAATGAGTTCCTCGATAGTGGTCGTATCTTGGTACTTACGGGGAGCATGAATCTGCCCCAAGCGGGTAATGCTTCTGCTACGCTTTTCAACGGAACATATGTGTGGCCCCTAGTTCTCACCACCGGCGCGGACGGTAGCCCAGGTTCTTTGAGTCAGATGTTTTCTGAGCAAGAAACCTATTTTGCACCGGCTCCGGATCCCAAGGGCACCGTGGTTGCAATCGCAGTAGCAGTCATAGCAGTCTTAATTTCTATTATCATCATTGGGGAAGTGAGCGAGATCTGCCGTCGGCACTGGCTTGGAAGGAAGGGATATGGCCTACTACCTCGCCGAACAGAAACCTAGGGCAAAGGCCGCACGGTGAGCTTTGCTGTTCCCACCACTGCTCCGCTCCTTTTTCACGACAGCGACTGAGACGTACTCAGGAAAGCCTTCGACTTCGCCGCCTTGATACATCTGTGCAGTCCCTGGAGGGAAAGTTGTTTGAGGGAGGCATGGCTGAGCACGGGATAGATGACAGATGCTTAGAATCGGAGATGGGATTCAAGGTAGAAGGGAGGAAAGTATTCTAGGTAGCAATAATTATTTGCCGGTTGGGTCGACACTGCTTCCGGGTAAGTGAGGGGCATCTTAGCGTACACAAACCCCTCTGCAATGCTTGGCATGGTCCTGTTGAAATGCATCGACCCAATACATCAAATTCACGACTCCAATACAAGTCGGATCATAAGTAACAATTCAAACGGCTCTAGACTCGTATGACTATTTATCAAACCTGTAAGTATACCGAGCAAAAGTCGTGCATAGAGTCCTGCAATCACACAAGTTGCTGAAAGAAGGGATGATGCTCAGGTCTTTTCAATTTTGCACGCTTTTATGAGTATCCACCAGAATACGTCAGCTATTCATCTTCGAAATTCTCAAAGGAAAGGGATTCAATACTGTAGCTTCCCCTCACTCACACAGATAATATTTGAAGTTCATTTCGTTATAATTGTCCCGTCTTCCTGGCAGCGCACCTCTTGAACTATACTTTTCCCGGGCAACAATTCAAGCACCTTGTTTCGTCTTATAGTGCTCGTTGAAACCCTTTCGCCACGGTTCCAACCTCAGTCAGCCATCATGTCTCGTGATCCCATCGTCCGAGCCTTGCACGACTTCACTAGGTACTAGATCACCCTTTAGCCAGACCCTACTCTCAAAGCGACGCTCCTGATATATGTACCACAGCTGCGATGTCGCCGACGCCCTCCTCAAATTGAATCATCCTCATGGTGGTTTCTTGGCCGATCTGTAAGAGATCATCTATTTGTTTAGTCTACATGCATGAATATCTTCAACACGGCTCTGATCCTTGGCACAAGCACAATGTGGTCGCCGAAACGGCAAGATGGGCCTACGAAGATGATCGGACCGGCATACACGGTAAAGTACGTCCGCAAGGATCACGGCACAGCTCCAACGCATCAGGGGCACTACGTAAGCCGACCTCGCTAGATAATGAGCAATGTTCCTCTGATTTCCTGGCTTTTCTTGCGATTCGATACCTGTCGTTGATGTTCCTTTGATCAACAGATCGATACCATCCCACCCCACTCCATCCTCTTCATCTCCGCCCCCTCCCACACCATCAACGCAGTCTACGGCGGCCTAATGTCCACCCGCGCCAAACACTCCGGCGCTGTCGGCACCATCGTCGACGGCCGCGTGCGCGACTTGCAGGAACACCGGGACCTAGAGTATCCCGTCTTCGCGAAAGATGTAGGCACGACGGCACCGCAGGAGACTCTGCGCGTCAACGAGGTGAACGTGCCGGTGCGGTTGCAGAGCGAGGAGCAAGAAGCCATTGTTTATCCGGAGGATTATTTGATTGGCGATCTGAACGGTGTGGTGTGTTTGCCGAAAGGGTTGGCGGAGAAGGCGGTCGCGTTGATGGCGAGTCAGGTGGAGGCTGATGAGAGGATTGCGAGGGATTTGGCGGAGGGGAGGCCGTTTGGGGAGAGTAGTAAGGAGCATAGAGCTAAGGTGAAGAAGGTCGAGGATCTTTGAAGGGAGGCGGAGGAGGCGAAAAGGGATGCGAGGCAACGTTGGTAGACGCATCATAACTAGATATAGCGTGTTGAGTGTAAGATCGGGGTGGTTGGAAACGTGCCTTGAGCAGGTGCTTGCTGAAACAATGGAAATGAGCAATGAGGGCAGCAATGCAGTATCAAAGCTGACGAGTATCATTTGTAAAACCCCAACGCTTCCACGATGCCGTATCATTGAAGACATCTTTTGCAAACACAGCACGCGGACATATTACACAGCTCTTAGGCTCTCACCCACTCACAGCATCATCTCCAGTGGGTTCTCCACCACTTTCTTGAACTCCCTAATCCACTCTCCTCCAACGGCACCATCTACCACCTTATGGTCAAAGCTTCCGGTCACCACGATCTGATCGTCCCACTCAACTCCTCCATCTTCTGAAGTGGACGGTATCGCGACCTTTTTCGTAGTGCCCACCGCCAAGATACCGGCTTGCGGAGGATTGATGACAGCCGTAAATCGCTCAACCGCTGCGTTCATGCCCATGTTGCTGATCGTGAACGTACCGCCCTGGTACTCTTCTGGTTTTAGCTTTCCATCTCTTGCGCGCTTGCCCAGGTCCTTAACCTGCGCCGAGATACCCTCTAAGCCCAGGCTGTCCACACCCCTGACGATGGGCGTCATAAGGCCAATGGGTGTAGCGACGGCAACGCTGACGTCCACAGTATTATGCTGGCGTATGACGACCTGACCACCAACCTCACGCCAACTTGAGTTCACTGCGGGAATCTTCTTGCAGGCGACGGCGGAAGCTTTGATGAGGAAGTCGTTGACCGAGAGTTTGTATTTTCCGTCTGCCGAGGCATTGAGAGCTTGTCGGAGTTTAAGCAACTTTGTGACGGAGAGAGTCCCGGAAACGAAATAATGTGGATTTTGGTTGAAAGACTGGGTAAGGCGGTTGGCAATGGTCTTTCGCATCGAGCTTGCTGGAATATCTTCGTATGTTGGAGCACCCGCCGCGGCCGCTGTTGGCGCTGCGCTTGATTCAGGCTTGAACTTCTCAATGTCTTGTTTTGTAATCCTGCCACCTGGACCGGTACCCTTGATTTGCTTGATCGGTACACCACGCTCAAGTGCAAGAGCTTTCGCAGAGGGACTGGCTTTAGGCTCACGATCTAAGCTCGTTTCCAGTCTCCCACCCGAAGATTCCGACTCCTGTGGTTCTGGCGGAGGCGCTGACTTTGGCTCGTCTTTGCTAAGGGTATCGGGCGACGTCTTCGACCCTGAGTTTGAAGGCTCGGAGGATTCTGCTGCCTCTTCCTTCGGCGCATCTTTCGGTGGTGCTTTCTCACCTCCTGCATCATCGAGACTGAATGACTCGAAAGCTGAGACATCTCCACCCTCTTCAATCATAACAGCAATTGGCTACATAGATGTCAGCGCAGGTCAATGCAAGAGTATTTTTGACTAACATTCCCAACCGCAACGTCTTTCTCGCCAGAGTCCTTCAAGATCTTGGCAAGCACACCGTCTTCTTGGAATTCGAAGTCCATTTGCGCCTTATCTGTCTCAATCTCTACCAGCACATCTCCTGGCGCAATTGCATCTCCCGCTTTTTTCTGCCATGTCCCAATATTTCCCGCTGTCATCGTAGGTGATAATGCTGGCATGCTAACGACTGTATGAGGAGGAAATGCTGCAAATATACTGTTAGCTGGTTGTACCCAGTAAAGGCCGGGCTTCTGGAGTTTACATTTCGAGGCATAGAGACGGGCGAGGGCGGACAGGGCCGGTATGTATCTACCACACATGATCGTATAAGTCAAAGGTAATCTAAGCTAAGCCAACTATGCACCTTGTAGATTGGACGGGGTTATAATTCACCTTGATGCATTCTGTGACCGTGTCAGAGCTGAAGCTCCAAGCGAGCTAGATGGAGCTCGGAGGCATGCTCGCACCGGAGCGCGGAGCAAAACAGAGGCAGCCATTGCAGGCCAAGATGTGAGGTTGGCTCAGGAGAAATGGGAGGTTATAATCAAGCATGCATATACATTCCAGACATTATACAAAAGGACAATGCTGACTGGGTTGCCGTCAAGTATGTAGAGGATTGAAACTTCTCGGTGATTTTCCTAGAGCATGCTGGGCGGCCTTGGCATCAGCCATGGCAAAATGTTTCGCCGAAGACCGATCGCCGTGACCAATCAGCGATTGGACAGCTCTTGTCTTGAAGAATTGTACAGACTCACCAGGCATCCGATACGACACTCTATTGCCACGGAACTTTGCTCTACCCGCTACATCCCTCCTACGTAACATTTGAAAGCTCAATGCGGAATCGGAAGGTCTCCAGGAGAGCAAGAGCTATAGTGGCTGCCTGGGGCTCAGATCTCTCCTATGGCGGACAGCGAGCAAATCGCACCATCAGCTGAAGCCAACGTTGCCAAGGACCCCAATGAAGCTGTTTCCGAAAGCTCTGGAGCTCAATACCAAAGCTTGGCAGGCGACAAGGAAGAGCTGCAGTATGGGCAAAGTTGGAAAGAGATAGAAGTGGCGGAGACACCAGAGGAAGATAGGAACAATATCAATGGCTTGACTGAGCCTCCTGAAGATGAGCAGAATAACCCAGACGCGGCCGAGACATCTTCGCAGCAAACTCAGGAGCCTCTATCTCCGTCGGCCCCTCAATTACCGGAAAAGGACGAGCAAGGTCAGCCTCCGCCTCCAGACAGAGAGGAGGAGCAACCTACAACGGCCTCAAAAAGCATAGGCTCACACCCATCCACGACGACTATGAATGGCACATCGATACATCAGCGGTCTGATAGTCAGTCCACGCAAGCTACGAATGGTACGACTGCTGTCCGGCGATTCTCGGCACCTTTGAGCTCCATCGTCTTTGTTGTCTCAGCTTTGGATCAGATTGCAGCGTCAAAAGAAGCTAGGAAGAAGAAAGAGCTCGGAGACGCCGCACAGAAGGCGTTGGATGCTATCAAAAGATTGGATGGCTCGCCACCTCCCGAGGTCATCTTCGAACCTCTGCGACTGGCGACAGAGACATCTAGTATACCATTGACTACGACGGCGCTTGACTGCATAGGAAAACTTATTAGCTACTCCTACTTCTCCGTACCCCCCGGAGTCCAAGACCCTAATGCTCCGCCTAGCTCCCACCAGCAACTCCCCTTAATCGATCGAGCGATCGAAACGATCTGCGACTGCTTTCAGAACGAAGCGACGCCATACGAGATACAGCTCCAGATTGTAAAATCTTTGCTGGCAGCTGTCTTGAATGACAAACTTATTGTTCATGGGTCGGGTCTCTTGAAGGCTGTCCGCCAAGTCTACAACATTTTCCTACTCTCAAAGTCGAATACAAACCAGCAAGTGGCACAAGGAACACTGACTCAAATGGTGGGTACAGTCTTTGAGCGAGTCATGACGAGACTGTCAATGAAAGAGGCTCGTTTGAATCTGGCAAAAATTGGTTCGGAGAAAGGTACTTTAAACGGCAGCACAGTCGAAATCAACGGTAGCAGCTCCGTCTTGGAATCAGGGGAGGGAGACGCCAATCCTGAGCCGGACGGAGTCTCCGAAGCCAACTCAACATGGAACTCGGATCAGCCGGTCCCAAAAGAGCCAGGAGAACGATTGACTCTGCAGAGCTTGGAAAATGCTAAGAGCTTCGACGATAGAAGGATTGGCGATAACGCCCCCACGATGGTGACACCAGCAAAATCAGCCCAAAAGCGAGCTGCCTCGGGACAAGCTTCTACAAATGGTGACGAAGAGCACGGCAGACCCGAGACTCCGGATGAAGACGAAGAGGATGAAATCTTCGTGAAAGATGCGTTTCTAGTATTCAGGTCCATGTGCAGGTTAAGCCACAAAGAGCTGCCACCAGATCAGCAGCAAGATATCCACTCCTCGAACATGCGCTCAAAGATGATATCACTTGCCATTATCCGTACGACTTTGAATAACAACATGGCCGTTTTTACGTCACCGCTGTGTACCATACGAGGCACGAACAATGAGCCCACCAGCTTTGGCCAAGCCATCAATCAGTATCTCCGCCTGAGTGTGAGTAGGAATGGGGCAAGCTCCGTCAGGCGAGTATTCGAGATAACCGCAGAGATTTTCTGGTTGATGCTAAAAGACATGAGAGTCGGTCTCAAGGTTTGTCTTCTTCCAATGTGTCTGGGCGAACTATCACTGACTTGGAGCAGAGGGAAATCGAACTGTTTCTGAAAGAGATCTATTTGGCTATACTCGAGCGCAAGAACGCCCCAAGCTTCCAGAAGCTCTATGTCATGAAGATCTTAAAAAGATTAACCACAGACCCGAGAGCCTTGGTTGAAATCTACCTCAACTATGACTGTGAATCAACAGCACTTGATAACATGTTTCAAAGATCGATCGAACACTTGTCCAGATTGTCCGGCATGTCCGTCCCGCCCGCCATCGTATCACCCCAGCAGCAGCAACAGTATCAAGATCAGTACACCAAGGAAAGTGATGCTGATCTTGATTGGCATGACCATGGAAAACTCCCACCCTCCTTGACGACCGCCAGTCTCAATGCTCCATGGAACCATGAGTGGGATCTACCGGTGGACTTTCTACTGAAGCAGCAAGCCTTGGATTGCTTAGTCCGGACACTTCGATCACTTGTCAACTGGTCTCAAGATAGCCTTGCCGCAGGCGCTGCAAAATTGCATGACATGGAGTTGCAGGATCCCAGGGATCGGTTTAGAGAATCTCTAGAGCGCCTTCCAGCAGCCGGCTCTCCAAGGATGTCCACAGCAGGCACGCCTATTGCTCCTTCAACGCCACTCCTCGAGGATGATCCTATGCAGTTGGAGAAAGCCAAGCATCGAAAGACTGCACTCAACAACGGCATTCGTCAGTTCAACTTCAAGCCAAAGCGTGGAGTCAAACAATTGATCACGGACGGATTCATCAGGAGTGACTCCCCTGAAGACATTGCCGCCTTCATCCTACAAACCGAGGCTCTGGACAAGGCAATGATCGGCGAGTACCTTGGCGAAGGTGAAACACAGAACATAGCCATCATGCATGCCTTTGTGGATTCGATGGACTTTACAAGGAGAAGATTTGTTGATGCATTGCGGCAGTTTCTACAGAGTTTCCGTCTTCCAGGAGAGGCGCAGAAGATTGACCGCTTCATGTTGAAGTTTGCAGAGCGTTACATTACCGGCAATCCAAATGCGTTTGCCAATGCTGACACAGCCTACGTCTTGGCATATTCCGTGATCATGCTGAATACCGATCAGCATAGTGTCAAATTGAAAGCTCAAAGAAGAATGACTGTTGATGATTTCATCAAGAACAATAGAGGCATCAATGATAATGCCAACTTACCGGACGAGTACCTTACTGGCATCTACAGCGAGATTGCAGAAAATGAGATTGTTCTGAATACCGAGCGTGAAACGGCTGCAGCTCTTGGCATGATGCCTCAACCTGCTGTGGGTGGTATCGCCTCAAGAGTTGGACAGGCTTTTCTTCAAGCTGGTCGAGATCTGCAGAGAGAGGCTTATGCCCAAGCCTCGGAGGAAATGTCGAAAAAAGCAGAACAGAGACTTCGCAATATGATACGATCACAACGGAAAACGACTGTGAAGAATGTAATGCCGAAGTTCATTCCAGCTACTTCATTCAAGCATGTTGGCCCAATGTTCGATGTTACCTGGATGTCGTTTTTCTCTGGACTTTCTGGTCAGATGCAGACCACTCAGAACATCGAGGTCATCAAACTCTGCATGGAGGGCCTCAAGCTCGCTATTCAAACCGCTTGCTTGTTTGACCTCGACACTCCTCGAACAGCCTTTGTGACCGCACTTGCCAGCTTCACGAACCTTGGTAATTTGAGCGAAATGATGGCAAAGAATCTCGAAGCGCTGAAGGTGCTCATCGAAGTCGCTCAATCGGAAGGAAACATGCTCAAAGGATCATGGCGAGACGTCTTGACGTGTGTAAGCCAGCTGGATCGATTCCAGCTAATCTCTGGGGGGGTCGACGAAGGCGTTGTCCCTGATGTCAACAGGGCTCGGATTCAGAGAGCACCCGCAAATACGTCTCGACGACAGCCTAATCGCCCACGGCCAGCTGCAATAGCGAACAATTCCAGCTACCACATTGAGATAGCTCATGAGAGTCGATCATCAGATATGATCAGAAAGGTGGATCAAATCTTTACGAGTACCGCCCAATTGTCTGGAGATGCTATTGTTCACTTTGTACGCGCGTTGAGCGAAGTCAGCTGGCAGGAAATCCAATCTTCAGGCCAGAGCGACTCGCCACGGACTTACAGCCTCCAAAAACTTGTCGAGATAAGCTACTACAACATGACTCGTGTCAGATTCGAATGGTCGAACATCTGGCAAATACTTGGCGATCACTTCAATGAGGTTGGATGTCATTCGAACACTCATGTAGTGTTCTTCGCGTTGGACTCATTGCGACAATTGTCAATGCGATTCATGGAGATTGAAGAACTGCCAGGGTTCAAATTTCAGAAGGACTTCCTCAAACCTTTTGAGCACGTGATGGCGAACAGCTCTGCAGTAACGGTCAAGGATATGGTCCTCAGATGCTTAATACAAATGATCCAAGCGAGAGGACAGAACATCCGATCTGGATGGAAGACAATGTTTGGGGTCTTCACCGTCGCAGCTAGAGAACCATATGGTAAGATCTCAAGTGCGATTTGCTCATATTACCGTTGCTAATTTGAGCCGCAGAGACAATTGTCAATCTCGCCTACGACCACGTTACTCAGATTTACAATACTCGCTTCGGAGTTGTCATCTCGCAAGGCGCTTTTGCCGACCTTGTCGTCTGCTTGACAGAGTTTTCTAAGAATCTCAAGTTCCAGAAGAAGTCTCTAGCGGCCATCGAAACGCTGAAGTCCACTGTTCCGAGAATGCTCAGGACTCCGGAATGCCCCCTTTCGCATCGCATAAAGCCAATCACCAACGGAGTCAGCGAGGAAAGAGACGCTCTTCCCAAAGCGATCAGCAGGCAGACTCAGGAAGAACAGTTCTGGTTCCCTGTCTTGTTTGCGTTCCACGACATCCTTATGACTGGCGAGGATCTGGAGGTTCGATCAATGTAAGTCTTGTGAGATCTACGTCTTTGCCTACACTAACACCCAACGAAGGGCTTCAAACTATCTCTTCGACATTCTGAAAGAGTATGGTGGTGATTTCCCTCCAGACTTCTGGGACATACTTTGGCGCCAGCTGCTTTATCCCATCTTCATGGTGTTGAAGTCCAAGTCCGAGATGAAAAATGTCTTAAACCACGAAGACTTGTCTGTATGGCTCTCGACTACCATGATTCAGGCCTTGCGCAACATGATCACCCTCTTCACTCATTACTTCGAATCTCTGGAATACATGTTGGACCGCTTCCTCGACCTGCTGGCCTTGTGCATATGCCAGGAGAATGATACCATCGCCCGCATCGGAAGCAATTGCCTGCAGCAGCTCATATTGCAAAACGTGACGAGGTTTCAACCTGAGCACTGGAGCAAGATAGTGGGTAGTTTTGTCGAGTTGTTCGAGCGCACAACGGCGCATCAACTCTTCTCCGCAGCCACGACTTCCTCCGATTCTTCTAGTATTGCCGAGGACGAGAGCGTTCGAAAACCGTCTGTAGCAGAAGTCTCAACCATCAAAGACTTACCTTTGACTACCTCGCCGACTATCTCGACGTTTGCCAGCGCTGGGCCCGAGGCTACGAAGCTGGACAAGGCTCACTATGCGCCCAGTGAAAGCGACGAGGCTACTTTGGCTGAACAGTCCATGCGCTCAAGAGCAGGCTCAACGCGTACTAACATTTCGCCACCACCTACCCCTTCTGCAGCAAATGCCGAGCTCGAAGACTACCGTCCACAATCCGGTCTCCAGCAACAGCCCATAGTAGTCACAGCAGCGCGTCGCAAATTCTTCAACAAGATCATCACCAGATGTGTGTTGCAACTGCTCATGATCGAAACCGTCAATGAATTGTTTTCTAATGATGCAGTGTATGCTCAAATACCAAGCTCAGAGCTGTTGCGACTGATGGGACTCTTGAAGAGTAGCTACACCTTTGCAAAGAAATTCAACAATAACAAGGGTCTGCGGATGAGGTTGTGGAGGGAAGGCTTTATGAAGCAACCTCCAAATCTCCTCAAGCAGGAAAGTGGGAGTGCTGCCTGCTATGTCAATATCTTGCTGCGGATGTACCACGACGAAGGTGAGGAGCGTAGAAGAAGCCGCGCCGAGACAGAGGCTGCACTGATACCGTACGTCACCTTCCGTCTGAATCAATACATACTGACCTGTTTCCGCAGTCTCTGCGCCGACATCATTCGTTCATTCGTCCTTCTCGATGAAACACAACCGCGCAATATCGAAGCCTGGCGCCCTGTCGTGGTCGACGTTATGGAGGGCTATACCAATTTTGCCCGCGATGACTTCGAAAGACATATCGAGACCTTCTACCCGCTGGGCGTAGACCTGCTCAACCGCGAGCCCGGATCGGAAATACGAGTGGCGTTGCAGGCGCTCTTGCGGCGTATAGGGGAGATCAGGATGGGCATGCAACCAAGGGAACACACGCCAGTGCAGACGCCGACGAGTCCGCGGAGCACGAGTGGTGCGTATTTTGAAAGGAGAAGAGGAAGTCGAGGGCGATAGGCGGGAAATTGGGAGCATGAAAAGGTCAATCTTGAGGGAGTAATGTATTCGTCGTGTGTATCGCGCTTTAGCGTCCTGTTGAGCGAGACATGGATATGGGTCTTTCTGTATACCGGCTCTCTTCTGGCTGGTGGAAAATAAGGGTTCATCATCATTGCTTGTAATGAAAGTTAGAAGGATGGCGCTTATAGACTCGTGCGACGAAGAATATTTGGACTTTCTCGCTAATCCAGGAAAGCCTCTACATTTCTTCTATCTAGCGTCCATTCCTCCGCAACTATATCTACAGCGGATTTCATGTGCATCGGAATAGTCATACTGAGCGCACAGCACACGATCGCAGGCTCAGTCGGCCTTCAAGATCCCCACACGCGAGAGTCTGACAAGGAGCATGTAGACCAGACCACCCGAGGTTTTACCACTTTCGAGAACGCTTCGTGGCTTCATGTTACGTCTGGAATCCGTAAAGAGTTGGTCCGGATAGGCTTCAAGCTCATCCGTAGTCCTAGCGGCGGTCGACAGGTCCGGTCGAGCGTGGAATGGGGGGGGGGGCATACGAAGAAGTAGCGGGTTGCAGAGATGAGACGTGCCAAGCCTCGCTAAGGCCCTTCGAGTTAGCTTGGCATGTCTGAGGCCAGATGGGTTGGAACTGCTTGAATGTCATCAATTTTCCTACTTATCTCAACTACCACCTCGCTCATACCCCGTCTATATGCAGAGATGTCCGTCACAGGCAACGCTGGCGTAATCTGCTTCAACTCGCCGGCGCCGAGTTGGAAAGCCTGACCAAGGCAGTTTGCGGCTGTACCACAACTACGATACTAGTCGGTCTCTCCGTGTACTTGAGTAGTATGTTTCTTCTTTCTGGGCGGTTGTTGGTCATTTGAAATGTGACACATCTGCAGCAAATAGAGTAAGCCTGTGATCGACCTCGTCTCTTTCTTTCCCGAATCCCGGACACCCTCATGCGCTCCTTCCACACATTGGTCTAGAACTGCTAGCATGGAAGCTTCGGTACAAGCTTAAGCGCAGAGGTTTCAGTATAGTTTGAGTGTCTACCGTTTCGAGGGGGCTTGGAGGTACTGAAATCTCCGTGGTACTGCTGTCACTACTTCATCAAGGAGTTGTTCTATTGCTGCACCGTCTTCACTCGCTCGATCGAACGACAGTACACGCGGAGAAGGAGTAGATCCCATTGGTCTAACAGGCGGGATATGTGAATGTTCTAGCCGATTTGAGTAGGGCTTTTCTTGACCCTTCGGGCCAAACATTCGCCACAGACGCCATCTATTCGTGATCTGTGAAGGCGAACGGCCCAAAGGAATAGCAGCATCCTCACTATCGGAACCTGGATCAGCCCACCTCTGAAGATTATTGGCAAAGGCATGAGCTTCGCTTATCCAGCTATCGCTGATTCCAGTGGAAAAGTTCGGTTTGTTCCAGGTTACTGTCGACATAGGCTGATCTTCGCGGTCGAGTGACACAATCGCCCTCCGGACTGGATAGGGCTCGGTCGCCCAGAGAGGCTCGGTATCGGAAAAAGTGGGAAATTATTTCAAATATTGGCCGTGGCTCCTCGCATTAAGAGCACTCAACTTGCAGAGACGCATGCAGTGATAAGGTGGTGAAACTCTTCACCTCGATTGATTCGAGGGCGCACGTGAGGTTAGCGTTGCACGTGCACCCAGTCTATCGCAGAAAAGACCTCTTAAGATCAGATGCATGCCAATCTAGATCGCGTCCAGATCGCCGCCGCTTCGAATTATTGTCCAGGTACGAACTCCCCCAGAAAGCGGTACCTAGTCCTGTCACGCAATCGAGTCGAGATTCCCCTCGCTAAATCTGCATGATTGTCTGGGTGTCCGTATGCAGGTCCTGCCGTTCCTGCAGCCTATCATATACATTCCATTTCGCCATAATCCCTGCACCTGCCCGATAGGGAAAGCGTGGTGCGCCTGACAGCTGACAAGTGCTGATCTGTGGAAACGGTTAAAAAGGTGACATACTCGAAAGAGCTTAATCGAGATTATATTCATATTTCAACAGAAACGTCAAACCTCAACTCAACAACGGGCGCAGAATACCGTAATATGTTTATGTAAATTTCGAACCGATTTTGATATCTTTCTTGTCGCTTTTGCATTCTATTGCTCAAGCCTTATCATGGTTGTTAAACATTGCCGAGGATCGCTGGTATGTGGCGCGACAGAATCGCCTGTATGGGAACCTGAATACTGCGCCACGAGTGTGAATGGGACGCAAATTTTGCTCGCGTTTTGCTTGCATGTTTAGAAGAAGAACATCAAGCGTCACGTTTCTCGTCTACCAAAGATTTTGCTCACATCTAATTCTTGCGCTCTGCAGCATCGGTGAATTGGATGGTTTCTTTGAAAAAAGCAATCATCCACGCAGCCTATTGCTGGACAAGGATTAGATCTGAATCACGCAATATCATGATCTCCATAGGGCAAGGAATGATTCTCAAGTCTGGCGCTGTCAAATCAGCGGGAGGGCGCAACGACGCGTGCCGCCATCGCTTCGACCTTCGATTCTACGTCGGAGCATCTGGGAACATGAGCCAATGGGAAGGCTGATTACTCGCATGCGGCGCAGATTTACTAAAGGACCGATTCCTCCCCTAAACGACCCCCAAAATGACACCCAAAACAACCCCCAAAACCTCCCTTGGAATTGATCATATGTCGTAGGTTAGCATCGCCACTATTTGAGGTTGACATTTAACGAACTTCTTCCGGGCTACTATGCCAGACCCAAATGACGGGATCTAATGCTGCAAGTTCCTGACCCTCTCATTGCATTTTCCACTACTCCATCACGCAAATCCGTTTGACGCTACCGCCATCCTTAATGGTGAGCTCTAATGTCGCAAGTTTCTCGTCCGCTTGTACCATTTTCCCATATTCCATCAGGTATCGGTAACATCGACTGCCGATCATCGTTTGTACCGCGTCCTCTTGTATTGTCCACCCATACTCCATCAGACATCGGTGAAATTGACCGCCGATCTTCCTTCTAATATTTCAGCAAACGACCAAAGGTGACGACTTACGAGGCATAAACCATCAGCCATCCATCATCCAAGCGAGCAATTATGGCACGCTATGGAGAATTTTCTAGTCTCCCGAGGGAGTCCAGGTGAGGAATTGCGGAGATGGCATGATTGTCAAGACCGAGGAGAACGGAACATGTAGTATGTATGGAATCAGCAACGAGAACCGGCATTCTTTTCCCCTCAATTACTCCACCCAGCTTTACTATAAGGCTCGATTGTCTCAGATCATATTCCCCACCCTCTGCCTGCCTTTGAATTTTTGCCACTTCATCGAAGCATTATATGGTCATCTGGGGGCTAATCCTCTTCAACTTCCTCAGATAAAATATGGATTCCTTTGTGGACATCACCTCTTACGGCCATGGAGCGTTCAAGGTCACCATCGTCGCGGCAGTATTAATCGTCATGCAAATCTTGATGGTGGGAGGGCGATTCGTCTCACGAAAGTTGCGAAAGGTTCCCCTTGCAGCAGATGACTACGTGCTGTTAACTGCAGCCATCCTCACCGTCGGACTATGCGCGCTTGCTCTGGCCTGTAAGTCGCCTCAGAGACGATTACCGCGAGGCAGAGGCTCCAAGTGTTCGAGACCGAGAAATGGCTGATCCATTTGGCACAGTCCCAAGGATAGGAGGTATTGGAGCTCCCATCGTGACAACACAGATGGAGGAGTTATCGGAAGGCAAGGTCCTCGGCCAGGTGCGCTCACGAAATCCCCTCATCGCCAAACCGCTGACGAAGTGCCCAGAGCTTCATGGCCTGGTCGATCCTCTACGGCCTCTCCATCGCGCTGTCCAAATGTGCCATCCTCCTCCTCTACCTCCGGGTCTTCACGACAAGCAACAAAGCATTCACCACCTGCGTCTACCTGACGGGCTCCGTCGTCGTCGCCACCGGCATCGCCAACACGTTCGCGGCCGTCTTCCAATGCTCCCCCGTCGCCTACGCGTGGAACAAGTCCCTCCAAGGCGGGCACTGCATCGACGAGGTCGCCTTTGCACGATCCATGACGCTCCCAAACGTGGTCACCGGAGCCATCATGCTCGTCGTGCCCTTGCCCCTGTCGTGGAGGTTGAACCTCACCCTTTCCGCTCGCGTCGCGTTGACCGCGACTTTCTTGCACGGAATCATGTACGTCGGTCCACATGTCGCCACCCACCCGTCAGTGAATCATGACTCACGCCTCCAGCAGTGGCTTCGTCGCGAGCTGCGCCCGCCTCATCATCTTCTTCCGCACCAACCCGTCCGCCTTCTCGAACGGTAAGCCCTTCCCCCCCCTGCCACCCACACAGCCCTGACCACCTCCCCCTCCCCTAGACACCTCCCTCGTCTGGACCATCTGGACCATCAACGAGCCCGCCAACTACATCATCGCCGCCTGCCTCCCCACCCTCCGCCCCCTCTTCCTCCGCCTCCTTCCCCCCGCCTCCCCATCCTCCTCCTCCCTCGTCATCCTCGCCAACCCCGCCGCGCGCAAGATGCCGCCGTGGCCCCGCTCCGACGCGTTGGCGGAGTGGACGAAAACGCGATGGGAGGAGCGCTGGGTCGCTGGAGGGGCGGGTGGGAGCGGTGGTGGTGGTGGTGATGAGGGCGTTGGCGGTGATGGGGGCGTTGAGGACGGGAACGGGCGGCGAAGGGCGGTGATGCGGGCGCCGGGGTGTGAGGAGGGGGGGGTGGTGGTGCAGACGTTGGTTAGGGTGAGTGAGGGGGAGGGGAGGGCTTTTTGAGTTGGGCTGGCGGAGTGATTGGTTTTTTTTCTTTCTATTCGTGCTTCGTTTGTCAATCTGGATCGGTGGATCGGATTCGCTTGGAGCATGGGGGGTTTTTTTTCTTTTTTTCTTCTTTTTTGGCTTTTGTGGAGCTGACCGCTTTCGGTGCTTGTAGTATTGTCGGCCGAGACGGTCGTTGGTGTTTGAGGATGTGGCGGAGGATGGGGATGGGGATGGGGATGGTGGGGGGGGTAGGTTTTCGCTGCTGCAGGGGTGTGTTTTGGGTTTGGTGGGTGTGGATGAGGATGGGGTGGGTGTATAGTTGGGGTTGGGAAGGGGAAATGGGGGGGGGGTGTATGAGTAGGGCAGGGACGAGTTATGGGTATGAATGATTTTGAGATGTATGATTGGATGGGGTTTGAGCTGGGGGTTTTTTCATCATCGGAGTTGGTGGACTTGTGTACGATCTGACGCTGCATTTTCATGACCATCGTGACTCATCCTGATGACCTTTTCGCTTTTTCTACCGCATGGGTGTACTTCCTCCCCGCCCTCAAATAAGCAAGCAAGCTGGAAGCCCACATCTACCAGCCCTGGCTAGTCCGTCTCCGTCTCAAGAAGAAGGCACCTTCCTCATGGCCTCAATATCCTCCTCCGGCAACCGCCTCTGCATCCCCGTGTTCGCCACCTGCCCCGTCAAGCTCGCCTGCGCCACCTCCTTCACGAAGCCCAAGGTGCCCACCGTGGCCTTCCAGTAGCTGATGTACTTCGCCCGGAGCTCAACGATCGCCATGCGCGGGTCCTCGGCCGTGCCGTTGTGCACGCCGTCGCCCAGGTCGCCGAACCAGGCCGCCGTGCCTTTGGAGTAGAGCTCCTTGATGCGCGGGTCGTCGTTCGAGGTCGTGACCACGGTGCCGGTGACGGAGACCCAGTCTTGCGAGGAGGAGTTTTGGAAGGTGAGCTGGGCGGTGGGGTCGCCGGCCAGGTCGGAGAACTTGTTCGAGTGCGTGTTGGCGAGGAAGAGGAAGTCGGGTCCTTCGCGCTGCGGGTTGGGGAATGGATGTGTTAGCTTGAGGTCGGGAGTGTATTGGCTTTGTATGTGTGTATGGATGGATGTATGGATGTATGACGGGGGGTTGTCCATGAACGTTAGGTACGTGTGAGAACAGAGCGTGTGTGGCTTACCTTGGCTACGGCCATGGCGCGAGCGACGGGACCGATGCCGTCGCGGATGGTGGTCAGGAGGCCAATCTTCATGCCGTCGACTGTCTTGTAGAAGTCCTCGATTTGCTGCTTCTTGGGCGTTTTGTCATCCCATTGATTGGCGACGGTGGGGTCGGTCTTGGAGTCGACGTGGGACTCTTTGAGTGGGTCGGGCATGGTGAGGGTAGATGTTGTGGAGAAGGTTCTGTGTGTGAGGGGTCTGTGTCTGGTGGATTGAGTGATGGGTGTGAAGGATGTTTTGAGGAGGAGTAATGAGATTGAAGGTGAGAAGAGTGAGGGTTGTCGGAGTAAGAGCATTAAGAGGGAGGAGGATGATGATGATGGGAGTGAGGTAATGTCATGAGGGGTGCCAAGTGGTGGTGTACGAGTACGAGTAAATAATTACATCATTACTTTGAATTATGTTGTACATCTTTTGATCGAATGAAGTAATGAATGATTTAATGATTTAATGAATATGTAATGATAATTGACTTTATCTGTGGAGGCGGGAAGGTCGGCTGCCGCCATCGCCGAAAAGTGAAAGTATCTAAGATCCCGTCATAAAGTATGTTTCAATCCACCCAATCCCTTGTTGAGTATCACGTGTCATCATGTACTCTACTCACAATCTGCTCCCTGATCGAAACTTGAGCACTGCTATCAGACTACCTTAAGGCTACGTACACGTAGAGTGTGAAATGAACAAGCCAGTCTTTACTTTGAAAGCTCCACGTTGACGACAGCCTCCGCCCTTTCGCCAAAGCAAAGCCCGAGCTTGCGCGCTGCCCCAAGAAACATACACAAAGGAAATGTTCGGAGGCTGGGAAAGATGATTGAAGTCGGGTGCCAAATGCAAGGCTGTCACACGGCTTGCAAAATATTGGAAGGATGATTGTGATTGGCGGGCAGACGAAGTGTGACCCTTACCCATCCACGGACTCTTCCATTACCCATTGTCCGGGCGTATCGCCCACAGACCCTCCTGTTATAAAGGCAAACATCAGCTCAGGGTTCGAATATCATGAAATGTACATAGATGATCCAGACCACGGCACACACCTCGCACACCCATCCTCTCCACTTCCTCCTCCTCCTCCTCCTCCTTCTCCACCCCCAACACCACCCCACCCACTCTTCGTTTAAAGATGGCTCGGCTCCTGCTTCGAAGTCCGCAAGATCATCAGCTTTCTCCCCACACCTTCCTCACTCAATGCACATGTATTTCACGTCAGACTAACAAGTATATCGAGCTTCGGCACGGGTGATGCACCAAAGAAATCCGGACTCCTTACCGCCGTCATCCGCTTAGGATCCTCATGGTACATCTACTAGGATCTGGGAAACTCGTAGCGGAAGGTAGAGACTAAGGCCCAATTCATCGCGCGAACTCAGGCTCTACAATACTCGCAGCATGTACGGGCGTATCATTGCAATTCCGTCTTCTGCGGTTCGCCAGCTTGGTACTAAAGCTCCCCTCACACTGGGACGGCTAATGTTGAACTCATACTTATATACGAAGCGCGAGAAGCTAGGGTTAGAGATGCTGCAATACTAGATGAAATAGGGAAACGGGTTGTTGAAACAGCAGTCCAATCGCCCGCGCAGTTTGGGATCTGGATCGGGGATTCGCCTATCAGACTGCAAGCATGGGCCGTGGAGAAGTTGCACGACTGGACGGATGTCGCCAGGTAAACCATGCCCGATGATGAGGTATTGACGATTGTGATGGTGCATGCAAGGTGTCACGCCTGGGCTGCGGTATCACAAAGCTGCGTGCCAAGAGTCCGGGCCTACGAATACGAGAAATGCGTTTAGAACATGCTCGTCAATGGCGCTCAGTGTCAGTGGTTACCCAAGAAAGGTTGCTCTTCCCCCTATGAACTGGATGCAAACGATTGCCAGTATTCAATTCTGAAAGAAGCTCGTTATTCCTTGCAGTCTGAATCACACTCGCCGAGCTGATAGGCGAAAGTAGAGACATAGGAAGATAGGTAGGTAAGGACATGGTCCGAGACTTGTTCGCGCCAAAAACTGGATTGGGGGCGCAATTGGGGGTCAGTAGAAGATATACGAAGGTGTCCCAGATATTAGCGTTGGCGTGCATGTACTCAATATTGGGCAGCACGAGAAAGAGCGCCGCAAGATCGACGATTGGTTTTGTCCCATTGATTTTAGATCTAGACAACAGGAGGTCCTGAGAGGCGCGCAAACCGGCTCCCGTCAATGACTCTTCAATTCTGAGAAGTTTGGAACGACGCGGATCGAGGTCGCTATCTGAGGATGAACACGTTCCATCAGACCGGGCGCCAGCGTGTGGGTTACTTCGATCCGTTGGCGCTCCGTTGCATGTTTCATTGTCTCCTAAATTTTCAGATGCAAAATGATGGTCAGCGCAACTTAACGCCGGCGTATAAATGCGCGACGGGGAGCACGGTCATCATGCATGAAAAGTTCCCTTCAGCCGAATTGGTGGTTCGTTGCCGTAATCAGACTAGCGTTGACACGTGATTGACGTAACAGTGCAGAGACTCGCATCCAAGCACTCAGCTCTTGTCCTTGCTCATTATACTCTCACATCAACACATTAACTCCTGGTGGTGAACCAACAGTGACTGCTAATAATCCCACACCTAGAATCAGCGGCCTTGAACGCGAATCAAGCGGCCTCCCAACAATCCGATGAGCGAATAAATCTGGACGTCTTCTCCCGTCGATTTCTTGCTGCATTGTGTATAGACAGCGAGATTGAACGCGTCCATACGTTCTTAGAGAAGACGCTTCCGTCGCTGCCCCTAGAGCGCTAACGCACTGTTTGTTTCCTCCTGACCGGCGATGGAATATGTGATGACCTTCCATGTGCCGCCAGCATAATCCTTTTCTCTGAGACCGCAGCGCGAGGAGTTTAGGCCTAGGTCTTCGCCTACCTCTGGGGCTCCTTTCTCGCCCACCGAGGCATTGCGTCCATCTCATGGCCTTGCCCCAAGACCGCTGCGTTCCAGGGAGCTATCTCTCTTGCGCGAGCCTTTTGGCTCCGTGATCTGGATTGCTTCCGCAAGATCGAACCGTTAGCCGCGCATCCCTCAGGGGCAAGGAGGTCTTGTCAGATTGAAATCGCTATACGAATTGATCGATTCGATTATGTTGATTTCGTGCTCGCTCACGGTGTAGACATTAATGCCGGAGGCAACGATCTTTTCACAATGGTGATGAACTGCGCGACGGACGATGCTACTACCCTGCAACCCATCTATTTCCTCGTAGGGCATGGTGCGAGGGCAGCTGGCTCAAGAGCGTTGCGAGAAGTGGTTGTGGGTGACAACATGGAGCTCGCATCGTGTCTTCTAGACAGTGGGGTAGAGGTTGTTGATGGGATGGAGCCGGAAAAGACTTCATCATTGATGGGAGCAGCGCGCGAAGGCTACCAGGACATGGTGCAGTTGCTGCTCGATCGCGGAGCCGATGCCGAGCTTGTTGATCTGGAAGAAAGAGACGCGGTAGCCATCGCGAAGGGAGCGACCATGACAGCATTGTGAGACTTTTGCAGGCGCATCGGTGAAGAGTCGAGGCTTCGAAGACGGACACTTGGAGCATCAATATGCAGACAGAGAGAGCATGAGGAAATCAAACATGCAGGGGGTCATGGTCCAGTTTATATACACAGCTCACCGGGAGAACCTCCCCTTAATTCCACCTTATTGGGGATGTAAATCAGCATTTACTTATTCGCTTGGAACCATCATGGGGCATGACCTCGTGTTCAGATGAAGTGCGAAACGAGTGGATCAGCGTAGCCGAGATACGAGGTGCGAGTTTCTGACCAAGAATAGCCAAAAGTTCCAACATCGCTTGGGGGTTTTCGAAAGCGCTAAATCTGTGACTCAGCCCCGTCACTCAGCCCAGCGTATTCAAAATGCGTGTCATTATGATTTCCTACGCACCTCATGGATCCAAATCATCAACTTCGGTACTACAAGTTGAATTTTAGGGATGGTAGCGGGGTTTGAATCGTAAGAATGTTTGATAGAAATCTTATATCAGTATATATAAAAGAATAAGATAGGGCTGAACTAGAAAATCTTGAATTTGTATATATAGTCAATTATAAATTCGAGGTTATTACGTCTTTTGACTAGACTATCTAAGTTAGCCCGCTAGCCCTCTTAAGCTCTCTTATTAAAAAAATAGATATATATTATTTATATATAGAATAATTTTTTTATTTTCTATTAAATTTTTAAGATTTTTTTTTAAATTATAAAATAAAATATGAGTTTTTAGATAAAAAAAGAATTTCTAAATTTAGTCTTATAATTATTAAAGCGTAAGAAATTTAAATATTACTTATTAAAGTTCGCTCGATAGTCGAATGGCTTTAATTAGATATATATTATTTAATTTTAAAATAACCTTTTTATTTTCTATTAAAATTTTAAGATTTCTTTTTTAAATTATAGAACGAAATATAGATATTTAAATAAAAAAAGAATTTCTAAATTTAGTCTTATAATTATTAAAACGCAAGGAATTTAAATATCGTTTACTAAAGTTCGCTCGATAGCCGGATATGTTGAAATGTGGCCCCCGCGCATCCCAGCCACCATGTTTTCCAGCCACCTGATTTTGTACTGTATTTAGAACCTGGCCCCGGAGAGGTTTTAGAGAATCAATCCGTCCGTTCTACACATCACATACCTGAAATTCTAACAGGATAGCCTTAATTAGATATATATTATTTAATTTTAAAATAACTTTTTTATTTTCTATTAAAATTTTAAGATTTTTTTTTTTAAATTGTAGAACGAAATATGAGCTTTTAGATAAAATAAGAATTTTTAAATTTAGTCTTATAAATATTTAAAGGTAGAGGATTTAAATATCGCTTATTAAAAATTTATTTACTTTATTAAGAACACTCTTTTATATAAACTTAGATAGTCGAGTAGTAATAATTTTAATAAATTTCGAAACTATTTCGCTTCGTCCTCGGTTCGAATTTATTAATCTCTCTCGCTAAAAAATTGTAAAATTGTAAAATTTATAAAAATTATAAAACTAATAAAACTTTTATAAATTATAAAAATAATAATAAAAGTAATTAAAATGAAAAGACTATAATAGATATTAAAATTAACTTCTTATTAATTAAATTTAAATTAATTTAAAGTTAATTAATTTTCTTTTTCTATTAAATTTTTACTATTATTCTTTTAAATTATAGAACTTAATTTACGCTTTCTAATAATTTAAAAATTTTAAAAATTTATTATTATAATTCTAAGTAAATCTTAAATTAAAATAATTTCACTCTTCGAAGTTCGAGAATCGAATTCAATCTCGAAATCAGATCTAAAAATAAATTACTTTCTATGAATTTAATTCATGGGCCTAAACTTGTATCGGTATAAAAGACTTAAAATTAGAATACTATTTTACCTCTTAGAATTCTTTCTCTATAAATATTCGTTATTCTAGCGGCATCTAAATAATACGATAAGAAGTCTAATTTATATGTAGATGTCTTTATGATCCGAATTGTAGTTGAGAAATTGATATTTTGGTTCCATGGGGGCGCAGGAAAATGTGATGCCAAGCGTTGACATGGATTCTGTTACGCTAAAGGCAGACTTGACTCCGCCGGTGGGCCCGATGTGAATCATCAATACGGCGAAGCACTCCTTTATATATGACTCCTTAGCCTTTTTCTTTCCCAACTTTCGCAGGTACAGCGCAGCCATGAAGCAATTTACCGCCTACAAGTTGACCCACACACTCCAGACCTACCTTGGTATGGTCATGAACAACGGCGAGCCACGATTCCGCTTAGACCCATGCATACCCAACTACTTGATAGACACCGAAGAGATTCAAGTATCAGCCAAGCACCCCAGCTCGCTCTCGGAAGAAGCTCTTGTCGCTCTGTTCACTTCCTGCGTTCTCGACTGCCGTCTGCCACAATTCCGTAATCCTAACGACCCTGATGTGAAGCGCTTGAAAGCAAACATATATGGATGCTGCGACACGCAGATCGATATCGCTTTCATGAAAAGCAATATAGGCGCGCTGCTGCGGTTGGACCTGGAGCAAGCAGCAGCCGTTGTGATATCCGCTATCAGGAACGACGATGGTATAGCGAACAGATCAGAAATCGTGCAATCACTTCTGAAGGAAATCAACCCTAAGGTCCTAAGTCACAGCTGTATGTGGTTCGAATACGCAAACATGGACTCGGCAATAACCATCCAAGCACGCAAGTTCTCCCATATAGTCACACAGACACGACACATAATTCAAGATAAGCACATGGTCGAAATGGCCGAATGTCCCGACTGGCAATGCCTACTTCCACTTCTTCTGCGCATCCGCCGTTGTTCTCCACGCTCGCGCTGCCTATTCATCCCTGAATGGATCTTTCGCGAAGCGAACGCCACTCCTCCCTCCGAGTTTTGCATCTGGGACAAGCGGGGTCGCGTGGCTGCCGGACACGAGCCCATCCTAGCGCCTGCCTCCGATAGTATCGTCCTGACTCGCAAAGAGTTTCGCCGCGTTCAACGCCGTCTCTTGCGGTACTTCCGCTTCTGGGATCCCACATTCCGTTTACGACAAGACATCAAGAATCTTGAAGCCAACGTCATTTACGGCACCGAGCTCATCAGGTCTCAGGTGCTTCCTTCAGACGATACTCTCGTTGTAGCACACTACTTCTTTGCACTTCAACGCCGTCTGCAGCGTAAGGTGGTCTCAAACTTGCAATGGACTAGCTTTCTTCAGAAAGGGGAGAGTGGGAACATTGTGCAAAACAATCCTGAGATTCCAACCACCTTCGAAGAACGGCTCAGTAGCCTCAGTGGTCAGAGCGGCGTCTCTCTCTCCGGATCTTTACTACCGCAGATAGACCAGTGTTGCCTCTTGATGGAATCCTACGTCAAGGTCTACGGCAACGGCGATCGTAAAAATCTTGTTTTCGTACGGGGCGTGAGCGGTGGGTCGGGTCGTGGTGCAGTAGATGATTACAACTTGCTTTGCGATATCCTGAACACTTTGTGTGGTAAGGCCAAGGAAGAAGGCGTCAAAATGCCCGGTCCAGTGAGGAAGTTCTTAGCGAAGGACATCATGGCTTGGAACGAGGCATTCGGTGATGATGCTTTCGCTGGCGGGAGGGTGCCGGGATGGGAGCCATGGCTGGCTGAACGACGTGAGAAGGGGATCCTTCAAGGGATCGAGGCATTGAGTATAGAGTGAAGCCTCGGCTTTTCTCCGTCTGAAGTAGATTACTTGTGTTGTGCAAACACAATCTCGAGTTGTCAAACTACCTTACTGTTCACACATCGCCGGTTGGTCATGATGTTGTTTTCACCGAGTCACCCACACAATGCTTCAAATTGATAGCACACTCACCAGCAACATCTTTCAGAACAATCACAAAGACTGACAAACAACCATGTTGTTCATGGCTCTACCACTTGAGCTACGCTTCTAAATCTACTCCTACATCCTCAGCCCCGACGCACCCAGACTCCTGACAGTTTACCATAACCGTCCATCCGACCCGGTGTCTCCTTACAACACCCCCGGCCTCGACTGCTCCATCCGTCGCACCACCCGACAAATCTACCTCGAAGCCTTACCCATCCCCTCCACCTCCAGCACCATCGCCTTCGACTTTACCCACTGGCACTTTTCCCACCGAGACTTGACCCACTGGAAGAGCTCGTCGTGCGACTTTATCGACTGTACCATTACGCCGCCTGCGAGGCTCTTCCTGCCGCCCAATGTGCAGTACCTAGACAGTACGCCGGGCTGGTGTATCACGTCGGCTGGTCATCGGCTGTCAAGAGTTCCAGCCATCTCTCCGCTCTACGTACCGCGTATGCGGCGTATCAGGATCAAGGTTTCGGAGCGTGCGCTGTGGGGATGGGGAAACAGAGGCGCGTATTACTCAGTCACTGGTAGAGTCCTGAACAGACCTTTACGATGCGTGAAGGAAGGTAGGGTAGAAGATGACAAAACGCTCGCAACGAAGACAGTGAGATTCGAGTTGGCGGTTTATCAGGATGAGAACGGCAGTAATATTTTCATGCCGGGTGTGAACCGTGTGTGTGTCGAGATCACGGGGGACATGAGAAGAATTCTGGCGCTACTTGAGGCTGTGAGGGAGAGGAGGAAGGTGCGGGTTGAAGTGAAGTTGTTTCGGGAGAATATGTGGGTGGGCGCTATTGGTTTGGCAACTCTCATTCTGGGCTTATAGTCACGAAAAGAGAAGGTTACGAAGAGACGGAAGAAGAATAGAAGTATAGCTCAGCGAGCCTAACTTGCACAGCAGCTAAGGCGGCTACGGTCACGGCTTACCAGCAGGCTATCATATAGTGTATTACTGAGTATTAGGAGACGAATAAGAAAGTCGGCGAGGGTTTGGAATGCATGTCTCCCCTAACTCACTCTCAACAGGTATTGTATCAAACTCAGATCCGATTACAATCCCATTCCACTAGGTCTTCGACGCCGATACCATCACGCCTGCCGCTCTCCCTCGGCA